GGAGGAGGAAATACCATAAAACGATAATAATATAAAGACATTAGGTCCGAGTACATTGAAAGTTCTTGATGCCAGTGCTATAATCTTGGATGTGACTAATGCAAAGCTTGTCGACAATAATGTTGCCCTAAATAAGAGTGGTATCAAAATAGTTGACAAGCGCAGTGTAGTACATTACAATAATAAAAGTACATTAAATTCTGAAGGTAATGCAATGCAACCGCCACTTTCGACGTTAGAAAACAAACTGATATATCATTGAAGGTGCTAGTTCAAAGTGAATATTCATGAAATATATATCCTTTTGTCGCATATATACGTAATAATGATTTAACAACACATGCACACTAGATGTTTAGAATAATAATGTTAAATCATTATTATTTCGTATATATGCAACAAATCAGTAAATTTCAGTGTAAATCAGTGTAAATGTTCAAAGTGGTAAGTTGTACAATTCTTGTTATAAAAATTATATACTGTCGTATTTAATTAATAATTTTAGTTAATTTGACATTTTCGTTTGTATAGGTAGGATATGTTCTAAACATTTTGATGATGCTGCTCGTATTTTTAAAATTGCCACTCGTTGTGACGTAAGCAAGAACAGAAATCTGATTGGTCATGCGCATGAGCATACCCTTGTATTTTTATCATGGGCCGGACGAACGCACTTATTTGGTTATATTTAAGGTCTAATATCTCGTTAAATATTGCGTCAACTGAAAAATGGTATAAAACTTTTCGACTCAGTTCGATCTACTCTACCTGCTCCTGATAGGTGATCCACTCGATTAATGACACCCTGTATATATATTATATGTATATATATAATTAAAGTAAAATACCTGACCGTACATTCCTAGTACCTTCTGCCAACTGATCCGATTCTTTGAATGCACTTGTTTTATTTGTAGAAATATTTGATGATGTTCTGAAATGTATTCTTAAATAATTAAACATGAATATAATCTATTACGAAAACGGGAGAGGTTCACTTGCACACTGTAGCTATTGCCCACTGCCTATCACAGCAACTTACAGCGTAGGGAATTTTTTTTTTATTTTCTTTTTCTAGCGTTGTGATTGGCTTGTGCGCAACTGGCTCGTGTGCAACTGATACACCCACGAAAACACATCTATAAAACCTTTTTTTAATTTAAGAAGTACGAAAACAAAACTTACGTTTTGACCAAACAAGAATCACGCATAAATTCCATAGTATTATAATGTTGCCATAGTCTAGTGCTATTTGCTCTTGCAGATCCACTAGGTTTTTGCTCGGATTGAATAATTTTCCAGTATGTATCGTGTAATGATTTAAATTTGCTTTTAGCCGTTTCTGCACTAATTTATACCTAAAGAAATGTAATAACATTTCAATGATATACAACGTTGTTTAAAAAATATTGCTTATCTAGGAAAATATAGAAGAATAAATTAGAAGAATAAAGTTTCATAAGAAATAAAATGTTTACCATTTAATGCATCGGAAACTTCCTGCCATAGTTTATTTTTTTCTTTCGCATTTCTTTGCTTAACGTCTAACTGGAAATTCCATAGTGCTTCTCGTTTTTGAACTTCTAGAATTAAAAGCTCCTCTTCGTCAAATGACATACGCGTTTTTTAAAATTATTGTTCGGAATGAGAAGTTATTGAGAGCTTCCTTTTTGAACGTTGAATATTACCTGCAAAAATAATTATATAGGGTGTCTGGATGCTACGGCATCAACCTTAATAAACAGTTATGCCTAGTTCATTCATACTGGATGCGATGGGTGATGAACGACGAGCGATATCCAATAAAAGCTTTGCTTTTGCTCATACGACGATGTAAAGCAGAGTTCTTATTGGTTATCGCTCGTCGCGCATCGCTCATCGCGCCTAGAGTCCTAGATATCAGAGAAGCGCAACCGATGTTCCGCGTCCTGATTAGCTGACTGTCAGCCAATCATGACATTCATTCAGTGGTATTAAAAATGGCTGACTAATAAACGATTGGTGGATTTCATATTTCGTCTGCAAACGACGCCATTTTTAATACTTTTCTTAGTAATTTTGCGATACTGACTTAAGCCGGTTGCGCTTCTCTGATATCTAGGACTCTAATCGCGCCTAGTCTGAACTAGTCAATAGGAGGGGACTCTAAACTGAGTCGAAAAGTCCTCGTAGCATTTAGACTCCCATTTATTACAGCCATTTTTCAATGAATGCAATATTTGCTTTTCTTACCTGAAAAATTTTCTTTATTAATGGTATTTGGTGCCTCTAATACCACTAACTCGTCGTTCCCAACCAAACTTTTTCTTATAATTTTTTCGTCATCTGTAATGAAGCATTATACATATATAAAGGTAATTTGCAAAATCCTTAGACATTCGGCGCGTTCAGCGGACTCAACAGTAGAGTAAGCGCTCAGTAGTAGACCTAGGTATATACTAAACCGTTTAAAACTGACCACGGCTGGTATAGCCAATGGCGTTGCTCCTTTTTTGTTTGTGTGCGTGCGAGTTTGCGTGTGAAAGTAAAAAAGGAGCAACGCCATTGGCTATTCCAGTCATGGTGTCGAAGGTCGCGCCTCGCTGGTGGGGGCGCCCGGGCGCGGTCACCATGACGACGTCGCGGGCGCCGTCGCCGCGGCGAGCGCATGGCGAAGTGAGGTTATGTCCGCCGCGCGCGCGCTTTTACAGGTTATGTCCGTTCCCGCGCTCGCGCCGGCGGTCGCGCGTGCGCCGTCGAGATCCTCGCGAGCGGCGCGACGGTCGGTCGGACGGTCGTCCGTTCGTCATCGTCGTTATTCCTCCTCGTAGCTCGATCACGCGCGAATCGTGCGCTCGTCGTCGTCGTCGTCGTCGTCGTCGTCGTCGTCGTCGTCGTCGTCGTTTCGTTTTTCGGTCGCGCGTCGTATCGTTGTTACGGCTGGGGGAAAAAAAAAAATAAAATGAAAAATAAAAGAGTGAAAAAAAAAGATGTGTTGGGTGAAATGTTCAGTTGGTCTTTTCAAAAACGACGAAACTAATCGTCAATTGTTGTTGTTGTTACCGTTACGCGATGCACGCCTCGGAGACGATTCTCATCTTTATTTTTTTTTCTTTTTCCTCGATCTACTATATCTATAGCCTTCACGGTCGCGCTCCGGAGACAATTCATTTCTACGAATGACTCACTCGTCTTCACTGTTTTCCCGTTGCGCGGCGTGATCGGTATTTTTTCTTTTTCGTCGTCTTTTCGCCGCGACCTCGATCTATCTCCAAGGTCGCGCCTCGGATGACTCACTCGACGCGCTCTCTTTCTCTTTCTCACTCTTTCCCGTTGCGCGACGTGATCTTTTTTTTCTTTTTTTTTCGTCGTATTTTCGCCGCGACCTCGATCTGTCTGTCGCGCCTCGGATGACTCACTCGACGCGCTCTCTCTTTTTCTCACTCTTTCCCGTTGCGCGGCGTGATCGTTGCGTGTATGCTTTTTTCAACAGGTTTCTTCATGTTATTTTATAAAAAAGTAAATTGTTGCGTTGACTAATATATATATACTGATATACTGTGCCCTTACATTGTTTGATATTAGTGTATATATACACTATATATATATTTATTCGAAGACGCGCGTTAGTTTTTTCCCGTTTTCCTCGTCGTTCGCTACGCGCTTACCGTTAATTTATTCAAGGTCGCTACGCGCGATTGCAATCTACTCATAGTCCTCAGGGTCGCGCGTTGAATAAAATAAAATTTTTTTTTGTCGTGTAATTTAGTCAGATTGAATGTAAAATTGATTTTCTTATTTGTCAATATATTTATTCGAGTGTTGTTACTACATGAGAGAATACAATTAATAATACAAAATAATGTTTATTCTTAAAGCGTTTTAATTCGGTCCGAAGATCAGTGCGATTAGTTCGCAATCGATTATGTCGTTGCGATCGAAGTATTCATTTTCGTACATGGTTTTTTGTATGTTCGTAGAATCGTTCACATTAGCCGCGGTATTGAGAAGACGCGAGTACTTTTTGTTTATGATGTCAGATACATTGTCGAATGAGGAAATGAGACGATTGACGCAATATTCTAGATTGAATAAATTGACAACTGTACTGTTTGACAAGGTCATTCGTGAAGATGTCGAATCAAGACGCAACATCGGTATATTGTTAATTCGACCGAAATGCAATGTCAAATCTCCGATGTATATTGGCGATGGTGCGTGTTTTCCTTTTGTATTTTCGGGTTGCAAAAGCGACAATATGACGCGTTTATGTTCGATGAGCTCGCTCCATACGGTCGGTGAGAGGAACATCTCTTTGCCGTGACTGTCTCCAAGAACTACAGTTATCTCGCAGGGCAATTTGACGTTGATGCCGACGGTTAGATACTTGTATCCGGTAGCAGTTAAAGGATATCTTCGTTCCAATATGCGTACTGTGGTTCTGTGCGTAAGAAAACAATTAGTTCAGAAAAAACAATGATTAAAAAAGAAAATACAAATACCTACGTGTCTTTAGTATCTACTTTTTCGTTATATTGTTTCTGCATATTGTTCGTTTCGTTATACTGTTTTTCCTTTTTTTCATCGTGCTCCGTGATGAAATGCTTTGCTGCCGTATTGGTGAAAACTCTTCTGATCTTCGCGTCATTCGTACGCTCGATGAGGAGACGTCGAGAGTCGTCGTCGGTGTCGTTTGAAATCGCGTACATGTTTTTCTCTCTCTCACGATGTTAATAGAACGATTCGTTCTTTCGCACTGATCGTCTGCGTACCCATGTAGTAATATATTTTTTTTACTTAAAACATCGTGCTAATCGTCCAATGCATCCTCTGTGGTGTATTCGAGTAAATTATTTGATTGAAGCAGTCGATTAAGAAGATCTTGCAATTGTCTTAGCAGTCCGTCTGTAGGACAATTTACGTTGAGTATTTTCATGTCGAAATTATCGGCATTCGTTACTGTTTGGGTGAACTCGTTGAATTTGTAATATTGACGTTTTTGTAGGAAATGAAGAGAACCGTCGATATATCGGTAGGCTGCAGTCGGAGATGATGGTATTCCCGGAAATATCGCTTTTAACGAGTGATATTCGCGAATAGTCATGTCGCATTCATTCATTAACGCTACGCTGTCGCCATCGAAGATCACGTACGTTTGTCCTCGGTTGGTGACTAATGCTGCGTTAACGCGCATTTCTGCGGGAAAGTTCAGGTCGGAATACGTTTTCGGCCAACCATTTTTCAATTGAAAACTCGGATAATCTACCATGTAAATTTTATTATTCGCGAACATCACAATTTCTTCTGATGGCCGTTGATACACGGCGTTTATTGAAACGTTCGCCGGAAGAAAACGAAGATAGTCATTGAGCGCGAGTGGTCCCTTGTACCTTTTACCATTGATGGCTATCACCCATATGCTCTTTCGATAAGTGACGAATATGTGATGTTTCAACACCAGTACATTGTCCACGTATGGTAGATCGCACAGATTTTGCGTTGATGTTTTACGCGTGTCTGTAGTTACCGGTGGAGATCGTGTACTCGGTACTTCATTTTGATTTTTTCCATATAGACGTTGAATAGCTAAAATGTCCTCTATACTGAGTGTAGCGGATCTATCGGTGACGTAAGGAAACATTAGAGAATCTGCGCGATGATTGTGCGATAATCCTAATGAATGTCCTATTTCGTGCGTTAACGTGTAAAGTAAATGTAGTTTGTTTTCTGATATACTTTCGTTTAATTGTATAAGCCAAGGTTCCGCTACATCTACGTGTATCTCAGTGCTTTGCATGGGGTAGTTCATAGGTGGAAACGCGTGTGCGAGCACTCCACCGGGTCCGTCGAACAAACCGGAACAGATCGTTTCCTCCCGTCTGTGTCGATGTATGTGTGAATTCCTCCGCGATATGATATCAAAATATCTGGATTTAACGTTTTACGTTCGAATGTTAGAGACGTGTTCGCCGTCCATATTATGAATGCGTATGTCGCGAGTTTCAATGTATTCGCGTCCGCTAAGTGAAAGTTCCACGTAAGATGCGTTTTTTTCCATTTTACTATATTCGTATTGTGTTCCTGGTGTGGCATATCCGGAAGTCCACATCGAGGTTTTCACATTTGATCTAACGTATTATCGTTCAATATACCGTTACCTTGTATTTGATAGTATTCTTGAAATAATGCGATAGCCTCTTTAATTTTTTCATCCTCGATCGACGTGTGAGTAGTTACATTTGCCTCTTTTAGATAACCGTACCTCTGCAAATATTCTGTCACTTCTGTGTTTACGAGATTTTCAGCCGTCGGCGTCGACGCGCATATCGTTACGGAAACGAAAGCCACGAGGTAAGCGAGAGACATCGCGACGTACGTGCACAGCGGAAGTGTACGGTTCGACAGTCAATCGCATTCTGCCGAGTATGTGGAGGGGAGAGGAGTGGTATGTGTGTCGAAAATAGATATAGGAAACGAATCGGTATGAGTGTCAGTAAACGTAGTACAGTTCGTTTCAACATTTTTATTTTTGTGAAGCATACATTAAAACAGTTAACCTATAATATCTTCTAATCGTTATGTTTATTGTTAGATAATTTTACGAACGACATTTGTCAATGGATTGTACTCTATTACTCTGTCATGAATAATTAGGCAATAGGCCGTGGTGTCCGGTGGAATGTTTTTTCTACATTCGAATTCGATACGAATGTCCACGGTTGCGCTCTTTACAGATTCGTTTTGACGAGAGCAATCGATCACCACGAGTGGCGCGGACGAAATAAATTGCGCGAGTGATAACAAAGCTTCGTTTCTTTCGTAGCCGTAGTACGAGTTCGCAAATTTTGCATACATGTCGTATAGTATTGCGACTTTATTACGTTCGAAATCCACATTCATATCATCGTATGGAAAAAAATCGGAGTTCAAAAAGAGTTTCACGTTGGCGAGCGCGCACGCGTCGAAATGAGTACTATCCTGAGAGAGTACGTTTCGCTTTCCAGTTTGAAGCGAAAGGATCACGTATCGTGGTTTTTCCAAATGCGACGTTGTCTTCACAGCCCACGAATGCTTCGTCGTGCTCTGAAGTAGAGGAAACTCGTACAAATCCCAAGATCGAAATCCCATGCTGAGATATCGTCCGTTTTCCAACGTTCGCAAGAGTGATAATTTGTTTACGTCGTTCAGTATCACGTGCGGCATCTTCCATTGCACTTTTGATAATGTGAGTGTAAATTCCTCGGTGTCGCTAGCGATAACGCAATTGTTGTCGTTACGCGCACGTATCAGAACGAGTTCATGTCGGGCGTTTATCACTATACGTTTGTAGTCCTCACAAAATCCAAGAAGTGTGTTGAGCGGTACACAGAAGTTAAACTCTTCAGATGTTGTTATTGATCGATTGAGCAATAAGTTTAGAGAAAGTGCAATTTTCCATCCTGCATTCTCTAACGTTTTATTTCTTTCAGCTGTCAACGAAATGTAATTTTTAATAGTGCTTGTAATACCGACGTTTCTGTTTCTGTCAATTTCAACTCCGTCTAATTCGTAACGAATCTCGTCGAACATGAATGCGACGCAGTTATTCGTCAGTTTCGGTGTTTGGTTGGTACTTCCTTCCTTCTGTTTTTTGACGAATTTTCCCTCGATGTAGAGTACACTTTCGCACGGTAACGTGTAGAGATCCTGATGTTGAATCGGTATTCGTATTTCATCGCTGTATCCGAATGTAGTGTTAGCGTACGGATTGTACGTGTGAGTCTCTATTTTAACGATGCGATCGTCGAAGATCGGAGCACCTCCGATCTTCAGGATGTCACGATTCATTTCTCACGACGAATCCGAGTGACCGTAGAAAGGCGACGTTCCTCGCGTTTAATCGACCTCCTCTTCTTTGTTTTTTCGTTCGATCGTATCGATTTTTGAATGGCTTCCACAATGTCGGTGTTTGCGATACGTTCACTCCGTCGTACGAATCGTTCAGGACGAGCATCTTTCACTCTCGAACATAGTTTTTTTTTCTAGTGTTTACGTCGTACGTGAAGTCGAATCGATATCTCTTCGCCGCGAAAGTCGATCAACTGTCCGTTTTGATCCACTACACGTATCGTTATATCGGTAATGTTTCGTGCGATGACCGGGAGGTAAATGACGTGCGCCGGAGTAACGGATAGTTTATATCCTGGAGGAACGTTCACCGCGAATTCGTGTATCGTGTGTACCGGTCGGTCGTTGTTGTACGCACCCGAGGTAATGTTACACTCAACGCGAATTATATTCACGTTCATAATTTTAACCGGTTCGTCCGATACGTGCCACTTGTTCGGTCGTAACATACGAGACGAAAAGCCCAATAATGAACCGATACTGTTCGTTTTGGAAAAATCTATTAAATATTGACACTTGATCTCACTTCTCATGGTGTTTTCGTTCGCGCGAAGAATCAATACAGATTTCGCTCGTTCCATAGTTCTTTCGTCCTCGAATATTAGATCTACCTCGTCGAATTCTTCGAGTTCGTCATTGTTGATAGTACTCGGTAGTGTATTGTGAACTATAGCGGTCCTCAGATACTTTTCGATATCGTTCAATTCGTACGAACCTACGGAAATCGTGATCGTAATGTCGTCGGTGTCGAAGTGAAATTTATTATTCGAGGAGGTGACGTTCGGTATCGTGTTGTACGTTTCGAAATTCGTAAGACCCAATTCGTATTCGCTATCGCTCAAGTCCAAAGCGGGGAAGTAATTCGCCGCGAGGACACTGTTTTTTCCCGTTAGTGAGAGAGTCAATGACATGATCAGCCACATGGTAGCGCGAAAGCCACCGCTAAACTGTTCGGATTGTAGCGCGATCTGTCACACGAGGACTTTTTTTCCTTTTCCAATCGATCTCCCAGAGAAACCGTAGACACAACTGACCGCAAATGCTTTGATCGTACGACTGATACGATCGCCTGTTGTATGCAATGTTACCTCCGAGATATCGTTCCACTTCTGTCGGTGGTCTCAGATTACCGAAACCGTCGAAGTAGACAGATTCGTTTCCCCTCTTCGCGTAAGCGACCCAGTGTGTACCGGGGGCTGTCGAATCGTCGAGATTCACGATACCGCTCTCGTTACGACGTGGTTTCGCGGGCATCGCATCGCGCATGAATACACCTCTGAAGAATGGCAATTTTAAAAGATACGCCGAACGACGCAATTGATCGTTCGTCGTGATGCCGAAGATCGGTAATCTAAGATCCTCTACCGTTTTCTTCCATGATGTTTTTTTTTATCCTCCTCGTTTTTTTCCTCAAGCGACCTCCACGTTTGTGTGGCGCAATGTACAGACCTCGACCCTCCATCGCGCGATTATGACGTTGCAATTCCTCGAGTTGTCGTCGAGCGGCTTTTCGATCGCCCACTGCTTTCGCCACGGTAGCTGCTCCACCGATCAAAGATCCGAGCGCACCCAACACCGGTAAAATTGGCAGAAAACCACCGCGTTTCGCTACAGATAAAATCCTCGTTCTCCTTGACTTTTTTCTTTTTCTCACACCCATGCCCAATTTTGTCTTCGCCTTCATGGCTGCCCACACGGCGGTCGCGACGGCTTTCTCACCTAACGTCGAATCGCTTGCTGTAATACGCTGTTTTGCTTTCTCGCCGAGAGCTCGATCAGCACTGTGTCGACTGGCGAGGTCTTTGCTTTACAAATACGCGATATCGTGTTCGCGATAAGCCGCGTCTAATTTATTGATGCCTCGATCGCCGCGAGCTAATCGTTTCGCGAGACGTGTACCTGGTCCGCAAAATTGGTATCCAGGAATGTGTAATTCAAACGGAAGCGCGTTTATCGTCGCGTTCAGTAAACCCGTGCCGTGCGCAGGTATCATTCCAACGCGATTGTTTGCATATCAACGCGACATTGGGGACAATTCTTGATAAGAGGCGGTGGACCGTCTATATGCGTTTTTTGATTCGGAAGATTATAATGCTCGAAACACATACGACAACGTTTCACCTCAGTATCGGCTTTTATATGATCAGGCAATCGATCCCACAATTCTTTGATATAATTTTCGAAATCGCGCAGAAGGATGACCCTTGGTACGTATTGCAGTTGTTCGGCTGTAAAAGCGAGAATGTCGCGTTTGTCCGTTATCAGAATGAACATTTTTTTTTCGTAGATGATCACTCGTCAAAATAAATGATAGACTGTGCGAAAGGCTCGTCTGTTCGCGGTATAAATAGCACGTGTCTTTCCCCCGTCGCATTTAAGTTCGCGCACGCGCGTCAAAAGAGCGACACATGCGATTCGTGCGACAATCTCGAACGATAGGAGTATCGAATCTCGATCGGAAGACACGACTGATGTCGAGTGACATGGTCAGAGAGAATTGCAGACACGGTCCTGCACTACCTAGTTCGATACGTTGCATCATTTGCGGACCTTCCAATTGTGGTAAAACGAATATGTTGCTAAGTCTGATAGAGAGTCCACATGGTTTACGTTTCGAAAACGTTTACGTTTATTCGAAATCCTTGTTTCAACCTAAATATCGATATCTCGAAGAGCTGCTGAAATCGATCGACGATATCGGTTATTATGCTTTTTCTAATAATAGTGACGTCATTCCACCTAGCGAAGCGCTTCCAAACTCGATTTTCGTATTCGACGACGTAGTCTGCGACAAGCAAAATACTATCAGGGAATACTTCGCCATGGGTCGACATGCGAGTGTCGATTGTTTTTATCTCTGTCAAACATATGCGAAAATACCAAAGCATCTCATACGCGACAATGCCAATT